TTGGGGGGAATCAGGGAAAACGTTTTTCCTACGGTAAAAACGGGAAAAACGTTTTGGGGTTATTTTTAAATTCTATCCGCAGTGTAGTGTTTGAACTGAAAAAAAATTTGTCCGAAAAAGGGAAAAAAAAGGGGGAAAAAAATAAATTATTTTAACAAATTTTTTTTTAAATTATAAAAACCATTAAGGGAAAAAGAAAAAAAACAGCAAACTTTATTTAACGATTTAAAACGAAAGAAAATAAAATAAGGGAAAAGATCCCGCAATGGGTTACGAAAAAGGGCCCAAACTTTTTTTAATTTAATATTATTTAAAGTGTACCCAAAAATTTGGTAAGAAAGTTTTTTGCGATTTTTTGTTTTCATTTCCCCCATGCTTTATGCCCCAGTTTGACAAATTCAGGGGATAAAATTTTTGAGTTTAAAAATTTAATGAACATTTTATTGACATTTTTCCCCATTAAAATAAAAGTAAATTCAGTCAATTTGGGGGAATTTAGTGAACCCCCTTAAATTAAATTTGGGGGAAGTTCTAAAATGATGGGTTCATTATATACTTACAGATTTTTAAAGAATTTACCCCTTCTTTTTTTCAAATTAAATTTCTATAGGGCTTAAATATATGCATTTAAACATTAGATCTAAGTTCGTATTTGTCTTTTAATACGCTTTTAAGAATAAGTTTTGGAATAATGATAATAACAATAATAATAATAATAATAATAATAATAATAATTATAATAATAATAAAAATACGTGTAGTGGTTTCTCTGGGAATTGTCTTTCTATTCATGATGGATGTGTGTTCACGGCCAAAGTCAGGGGAAACGACCACAGTACTGGTAACTGTGTTTATTTGTACGAATGTGCATGATGGTATAAATCATGCTTTGAAAAGTAATTTGAAAGGACTTATTAATTAGGAAATCACTTTACGGTTGCTATTAGTTTTAACTTGTTTACGTGTTGGGGGACACGTTAGCATGAAATAAAGAAGAAATAAAGAAGAACATTAAACTCTAAAATATCATTTAAAATCCACATAAAGCCTCGAGTATATTTGATATTATCAAACTCTTAACTAGTAGTCATTCGCGATTTTCGACTTTTGATTGTTAAATTACTTAACTGAAATTTTTATTTCAACCATACTACTGACAAATATGTAAGTAAATATCTCTGCATTACATACCTTATAATGATCGGTGAATGTAAATAAATATTTGATCCATATATATAGTGTTTTTAAAAGTTCATTGTACGATATCAGAATGATTGAGATGATGAGTCCTCTAGAATGGAGACTGTTAATTATTATTCTTTTACGTTCAGTTGTTAACCAGCTTAAATGTTGTGAGTTATTTGTTTAGATATTTGTAAAAAGCAACTTTATGTAAGATATAGCTTTTAAGACTAGTCGTTATATTTTTCATACATCTGGGATACATATTTAGATAATGCAATACAGTTGATGAAAAAATATTTTTTTGATCTAAGAATATAATTAAAATTATTGAATTGGAGAAAGGAAACATTGGATACATCTCATCATGCATATAACTCAGTACCTAGAACAATTTTGGACGCATATTAGAGGTGATGAACACATATTAGATGTAATGAAAACTGTTAACTAGAATTTCAAACTTCACTGTTTAAGACAGTAATATAGAATTGTTGACATAAAAGAAAGTATATCTAACATTGATCTATATCCTTAATTCCAATCAAAGTAAAAGTTTTTACACGGCCAATTAATCAGTTTAATAAACACTTAATAGATATGTTTGTAACCAAATAATCTTTTTAGGCTAAGTATCTGACGTATGTACTTTTCAAAATGGTCTAAAGAACATAATGATAATCATTTTCCCTCCTCGTAAAAAGACATCATAATGTTGTTTTTTTTCATAAACAAGGCGCTATGATTGTACACGTATATAAAATAATTGAAATCCACCGAGTAAGTCAATTTTAAAAAAATATTCATTTGTGAAAATTTAACTGTATGCACCAAATCGATGCAGTGCTACAGATTTCTTCCTTTTTTCCATTTTTTTCTTTCATCGTCAAACAATTGTTACTACACCAAATGAAAATCATAAAAGTAAGATAAAAGAGTAAATCGTATGCTTTATATTTCATTTTTTAAATGCACTAGTATTATAAAAACGTCAAGTCTTTTACAACATTTAAGTTGTTTGTCTAAGATATACCTTTTCATTGCTCTTATGTCATGTCATTGTGCAATATTTAATTTGCTTTAAACGATTGTGCGACGTTTTGTTTTAAGACAATGTGTAAATGAAAATCTTCTGTCAATGTATCATGTAAATGTATTCAATAATACAACATATATTTAAGTCGATAATTTGTTTATCCGAATTGATTTTAGTTGGATTGTGTTAGAAACTCAAAGCTTATTGAAACACTCTCGAATTTTTTCCTTGAAGCAACTTTTAAGAAGTGTTAAGTTTCTTGCTCACGGAAACAAAAGCTTGCCCCTAACCCCAGGTTAGAACCCACGCGGCCAGCAATCCTCAGATTATTAGTTCGACATGTTACCCATTCGTGTAACCCACTCGGCAATGCCGCCACTCTAAATGTTTTGTTTAAAAAGTTAGATTTTTGGAAAAGATTCACACTATCAGCAGAGGAACTTGTGCAATAATAGTTTGTTTTGAATTGTACCTAGAGCATAATTAATTGAGCAGATTATAAAATATTCTGGATTTTATTTACATATATTAATATTTTCTTCGAGAGTTTTAGATATCAACTTAAAATTAGAATTTGATAAAAATTGTTGCGAATACCAGAGTCCGTGAATGGTCTTATGAATTGGTCTTTATTTGTTTATATTTGTGTTTATAACTTAGCATTGTCACCTCCTATCTCCGCCTTGTGCGCTATTGCCTTTGTTCAATTTCTGAATGACCAGGTGTGTCTCAACGTTGCCAGTTTCTATTATAATTGTGTAAAATTTATTCATGACTTGTTTTGAAGATGTGAATTGTTAAATGTTACAATGGATTGTCGTTAAATTCGATGAAAGGAAACTATAATAAAATCCTCATGACATATTTATGCAATTTTTATTGAAACGAAATAGCCATTGTTTCAGAAATGCTTATTGGTGCAAACAATTTGCTTTAAATTGATTTTGCAATATAGAAGGACTTTTATTCAAATTTAAAATTCAAATTCATTCACTTCTGCCTTTTGACTTGTAAAATGTTTAAGGATGTTTCTTTATTCTTAATACATTTATTAATATATACAATTTTGGCTTCGAAAACGACTTTAAGCAATTTTGCCGTGTCGGATAACCTTCAGGAAATTCTCTTTGTTTCACAACTAAAAGTTATCTAACGGAAGTAGGTTGATCTGAATCAAACATCTTAATTTTGATTTCATTATTTTGTATACTTTTGATAATCGCTTTAAATAAATGCTTTGGTCAATTATTTAACAGGATAGAGAATATTTGTTATTATTATTAATGTTAATATACGTGCTCCAATTCAAATTTGTTATCAATAAATTCTTTTGTTTTGAATTTGTTGTTGCGTTAATTTGATACTCCATGTGCGATATTCGTTTGTAACTCCTTTTACATAATTAATCTCTTCTTAAGTCAAAGACATAATAAATGGCATTATTCCAGAAAGCATTTTGATTGTACGATATGTTAAGAATTAAATATTTATAAAATGATTTATTTTTGACACGAAGGTGTTAGAAATTTGGAATTCGCCTTTTGCCTTATTTTACTATAAATTTTAGCTATACAATTCCATCCCATCAACTTTTCATAGCAAACTATTGCTTGAATCAAATAGTTACGACGAAACCATTCAATTGATAAGAATGTCCTGAAATTTTGATAAGGAAGGGATTATCTGTCTAAATTCTGTGTATCGTGGGCATGTTCACAATGGGTTTTGTTTGCTGAAATAGTTTGAAAATATTTTTCCATCGTATGAAAGGTCTGTTATTAAATATATATACTTTTTTTTCTCAAAACATTTTTGGTAAAGTTAATACTGTATAAATGTCTGATCAAGTACATTGTTCATGAAGAATGACAAAATGCACTGAAATCCTCATAAAAATAATATACAATCAATATCAAAATTAAGATTTAAATTGTTCTATATAAAATAAATGATTCATGATTTAAACGATTAACATGTATCAACTATTTTATTTTGACCGTACGAATGCCACGAATGAAGTTTCTATTATCACCTAATGTAGCGACACCATTGAATTGTTCTGGCAGTCTTAAATCTTTGATAAGGTACTGGAAACCGACTAATATAATCAATGTGTTAAATAAAAGTGATTATTCAAACAAATTTCATTTTACCGACATGTTTTTAAGTGTGCAAAAGGAGGGGATGCAAATAGAGTTCATATCGTATGATAAGTCTATGATAAATCACAAACAGGTTTGCATGCATCGTTACTAAATCGTCGCCAATTTCTATTGTTATTCTGTACAATTTATTCATGACTTGTTCTGACTAAGTAAATTTTTAAATATTACAATGATTTGGTTAATTTCGAGGAAGATAAAATACATTTTGTTTTAACCATTTAATATATTTATGGCATTGATAACTATATTACAATTCGTTTCATTTTTGTCTATAATCAAAGGTGAGGTGATTACTAAGATTTTCTGCGTTTCTGTTGGAGGAAGGAATAATTAATAATTATTAATTATAAATGACGGAACGAAAACATGTTTTTCAAAAGTCTCGTTATTTCCAATGACTTGGTTGATTGTTTTGGCACAATAGGGACTGTAAAATTGACAACATAGGTCTGTTATATGCCTTTAAGGACTCCTGTATGGATTAAACTAAATTTATCTTAAGGTTTACGAGAAAAAGGCGTTTTGTATGATCTAAAGCTTGACTATTGCAAGGGCTCTTTTCCAGAATTGTAGAAACAATATATGATATCATCAAAATGAAAAATGTTTCCCTATTGATCATTATTGAATGCCATACATTTGAAAGAGTCATGCATTATATATAGGTTGCTTCCAAATAACAGACAATTAAGCCATTGTTACGAAAATTATGTTCCGTTCATATTACACACAGACGAATAGACATCACAATGCTAATATGGTTTTTATTTGTTTCGTCATTCGCAGCTTTACAGTTGATAATAAAAACGCTGTAGAAGCGCGCCTAGAAAGTTGCATTCCGGCTTGATTACAAACGCTTTACGTTTTATGTCTTAGCATTTAGTATTTACGCATGTATCATGTAATGGCTATTAGCAAAATGTGACTTAATATAAGTGACTGAAGGCAAATGCTGTTTAGAATGCTGAACAGAATGAACGGTTGCAGGATTATATGTTATTTTCTGTTTCATTTGTTCACAAATTTGTTGATATATGCTCAAAATGAAACAATTATCTATAATCATGGACTGGAGACAAAATCGTGCTTAACATCTATATCAGATATGAGTTATACAGAGTGTTTGAATCATTTCCGAAATAACAAGACTCACATAAATGTTATGGTCTATAGAAGACGATTTCGTCTGTGTGATACGTATTTTGTTACGGGAACGATTTCGTATAAACAGGAGCCTGGGTCAATGCTTGCATACCGTCCTGTTACTGGTATGTTTAGTTAATTATTTCTTTTAATTTCAAAGGGAGGTGACAAATATTTTTGTTGTTTTTATTATATCATATGTTTAAATTAATTTATGTATACATTGTATATTAGTTTATTCAACTCATGTATAGATTTTTATAAAAAATATAGGTGGACAAATCGGGACTTTCATTTTATTTGGCACATCAAGAAAATCGACTCATAGAAGTTCTACCGTATATTTATTTTTTAATAACGGGAAGGGTAAAAAATTATCCAGGGAGGAAAAGGAAAACAAGGAAGGAAACAATTTTCGATGTAACAAAAACATATATCCCAAACACAAACATTAATGATATGAAATTCTTATTTAACTTTTACAGTTATATTACTGAAATAGCATCAACTCATCCCTTTAATTCAATTTGGCTTTTGATGTACTTTTTACCTTGAGTACGTTAAGATATCTACTAGTCATGAAAAAAGTTTCGTTGAGAAGTCAAACTTGAACAAATGTATACGGGCAATGATGTAGATTTAATCTGATCCTATCAAATGTTTTCCCCAGTTTGTTCAGTACATTTACATTGATGTGTAGCTATCTTACCACTTCTCAAGTGTTTTTGTAGATGTTAAGACAGTTGGTGCACTGATGAAATTCTTTTAAACACCTTTGTTGCATGTCTTAACCGTTTATGTGCCTGTTTTGTTTCAGTAAATATTATCTTCAGACAATTATTTGCTTTTTTTTTGCATTCTATGCTCAACATTTGAAGATGCAAACAAGGTGTTTACATTTTTACTATTAAACCCGCGGAAGTTTGAACGCTTGTAGCCACTTTGGGGATGACCATTCACATTATATTAGGAAATTTAGCAATCGAATCGATTAACAAAAATAACAGCAATATTGATTTCTGCAAATATGTACCACGTGACCTTATTTCACCTGTCAAAAGACATTGTAATCTATGTAAATACTAAACAATCAAAGTCACATTGTACACTTATATAAACATTACACAAAAGTCCAATTAGAATATGGGAAGTTAAAAAAAATGTGGGTTGATTATTTTTCTGTTTGCAATCGAAACATCTTGAATTATATATACTTTAATGCGAAATATAATACTTAATATTCTTGACAAGTTGATACTGATATCGGTAATGTCTTTTGGGCTAGTTATTCATTTATCTTTTAAAATCAGTTTGCATGTTTGATTTACAGAACAAAAGGATTGCCTTGCACTTTTTGAACAAGGATTTAAGGAGGACGGTATATATACAATAAAACCTGGCTGCGGTCTAAGCATACAGACATGGTGCGATATGACAAATGGTGGATGGACAGTTATACAATGTCGACTGGATGGGTCAGAAAACTTCTACAGAACATGGGCAGATTATGTTTGTGGATTCGGTAACAGATCAGGAGAATACTGGCTTGGCCTTGAGAATATATATTGGCTCACTACTATAGACAGTTCTTTGAGAATTGAAATGGAAGCATTTGAAGACGTATCACCTACACATGCTTATGCACAGTATGACACGTTCAGAGTTGACGACGAAGATTCAAATTTTAGATTGCATGTAAAAGGCTTTTCCGGAAACTGTGGTGATAGTCTTAGTTACCATGATGGAAATATGTTTACGACTAAAGACAGGGACAACGACGAAGTATGGTACGGCAACTGCGCTCAATCGCATGAAGGAGCATGGTGGTACAACGCTTGTCATCTAAGCAATTTAAATGGACTATACTTATCGGGGAAACACGCAACGTATGCTGATGGTATTAACTGGATCACATGTTGGGGTTATAATTATTCTATCCGCAGTGTAGTGATGAAGGTTAAAAGAAATTTTCCGTAAAGCAAAACGACGGAAAATACTATATTTTACTTAAATTTTAACATTAAGAAACCATACTGGGAAGAAAAAACAAAAAACAGCTAAACATTATTTAACGATTTAACGAAAGAAATGATATGGAAAGATACGCCACAGTACGAAAATGTCGACTATTTTATATATTATTTAAAGTGTAGCAAAATTGTATAGTAGTATTGACGATGTTTGTTTCATTTCCACATGCGTTATGCTCAGTTTGACATAATTCAGCTGATAGAATAGTTGAGCTGAAAATAATGAACATTTATTGACAGTTTCCATTAAAATGAAAGTCATTCAGTCAATCATTCTGGAATTAAGTGAATAATTAAAATTGACTTTACGAAGGTTGACTGATAGTCATTATATACATTACAGACATAAGAAATTTAGCCTTCAATTTCTAACGATTCTATATGCTTAAATATATGCATTTAAACATTAGATCTAAGTTTGTATTTGTCTTTTAATATGCTTATAAGAATAAGTTTTGGAAAAATAATAAGAATAATACGTGTAAGTGGTTTCTCTGGAAATTGACTTTCTTTTCATGATGGATGCGTGTTCACAACCAAAGTCAGGGGAAACGACGACGGTTCTGGCAACTGTGCTTATGGTGCATGATGGTATAAATCATGCTATAAAAAGTAATTTGAAAGGACTTTTTATTAGGAAATCACTTTACAGTTGCTTTTAGTTTTAACTTGTTTACGTGTTGCGGTACATGTTAGCATGAAATAAAGAATAACATTAAACTCTAAAACATCATTTAAAATCCACAGAAAGCCTCGAGTATATTTGATATTATCAAAAATGTTGTGAAATTTTTAACTATTAGTCATTTTCGATTTTCGACTTTTGATATTTGTTAAATTACTTAACTGATTTTTTTTTATTTCAACCGTACTTCTGACAAATATGTAAGTAAATATCTCTGAATTACATACTTTATAATGAACGGTAAATGTTAATAAATATTTGATCCCTGAATATAGTGTATTTAAAGTTGCACTGTATATCAGAATGATTGAGATGATGAGTCCTCTGGAATGGAGACTGTTAATTATTATTCTTTTACGCTCAGTTGTTAACCAGCTTAAATGTTGTGAGTTATTTGTTCAGATATTTGTAAAAAGCAACTTTATGTAAGATATAGCTTTTAAGACTAGTCGTTATATTTTTCACACATCTGGGATACATATTAAGATAATGCAATACAGTTGATGAAAAATGATTTTTTGATCTAAGAATATAATTCAAATTATTGAATTTGAGATAGAAAACATCTGATACAAACTCATCATACATATAACTCAGTACCTAGAACAATTTTGGACGCATATTAGAGGTAATGAATACATATTAGATGTAATGGAAACTGTTAACTAGAATTTCAAACTTCACTGTTTAAGACAGTAATATAGAATTATTGACATAAAAGAAAGTATACCTAACCTAACATTGATCTATATCCTTTATTCCAATCAAAGTAAAAGTTTTTACACGGCCAATAAATCAGTTTAATAAACACTTAAAAGATATGTTTGTAACAAAATAATCTTTTTAGGCTAAGTATCTGACGTATGTACTTTTCAAAATGGTCCGATGAACATAATGATAATCATGTTGCCTCCTCGTAAAAGGAAAGACATCATAATGTTTTTTTTTTTCATAAACAACACGTTATGATTGTACACGTATATAAAATAATTGAAATCCACTGAATAAGTCCATTTTAAAAGATATTCATTTGTGAAAATTTAATTGTATGCACCGAATCGATGCAGTGCTATAGATTTCATCTTTTTTTCTCCATTTTTTTCTTTCATCGTCAAACAATTGTTACTACACCAAATGAAAATTATAAAGGTAAGATAAAAGAGTAAATCGTATGTTTTATATTCCATTCCACGCCAACCTACGCAGTGATTTCTCCTAAACAGTATAGCAATCTCTGCCACCACACATATTTTTTAAAAATATTTTGTTATTTTATATTTCGTAGTTTTTGAATTTATTTTTTCATTGTTTTGTATACTTTTGATAATCGCTTTTAATCAATGCTTTGGTCAATTATTTAACAGGATAGAGAATATTGATTATTATTATTAATGTTAATATACGTGCTCCAATTCAAATTTGTGATCAATAAATTCTTTTGTTTTGAATTTGTTGTTGCGTTAATTTGATACTCCATGTGCAATATTCGTTTGTTACTCCTTTTTCATAATTAATCCCTTCTTAAGTCAGAGATATAATAAATGGCATTATTCCAGAATGCATAGTGATTGTTCGATAGGTTAAGAATAAAATATTTATAAAATGATTTATTGTTTAAACAAAAGTGTTAGAAATTTGGAATTCGCCTTTTCCCTTATTTTACTATAAATTTGAGCTTTATAATTCCATCCCATCATTTTTTCATAGCAAACGATTGCTTGAATCAAATAGATACGATGCAACCATTCAATTGATCAGAATGTCCTGAAATTTTGATAAGGAAAGGATTACATGTCTAAATTGTGTGTATCAAGAGGATGTTGCTAATTGATTTGTTTGTTAAAATGGTGTGATGATATTTTCCACCGTATGAAAAGTCTGTTATTAGATATATATACTTTTTTCTCAAAACATTTTTGGTAAAGTTGATACTGTATAAATGTCTGATTCATGATTTAAACGATTAACATGTATCAAATATTCTATGTTGACCGTACACAAATTTGAATCGAATGCCACGGATGAAATTTCTATCATTACCTAATGTAGCGACACCATTGAATTGTTCTGGCAGTCTAAAATCTTTGATAAGGTACCGGAAACCGACTGATATAATCAATGTGTTAATATGATTATTCAAACCAAATGCATTTTACCCACAGGTTCCTAAGTTTGCAAAAAGAGGTATGCAAATAGATAATAGTTGGTTAATTTCGAGGAAGATGAAAA